GTGATTATGTTCAGCAAAAGCACAAGGTGCAAAGTCTTGGCATTTTAGTATCAAGTAAAGAAAATAATTTAAATTTAATATTTAATATTTATTTAATTAATAGGAAATTTAAATCGAATATTTAATGAAAAAAAATATCTTTCTAAGCCACTTTTTGTACCAGAACCAGGGAATTAAAGAAGTGTCACATCCAGGTGCTGCTCAATGGATCTGAGAAATCCCTTTTTTTGTTGTTGTTGTTTGACATGAAAAGCTTTAATGGGAACAACTGAAACCTTTAAAAGGGGCCTCGTGTCCCTGGCACCTCATTTTGGGAAAAATCCTTTCATTGAGATCCAAGGCCAAAGGAGGAGCAGCAGCTTCTGGAATAAATGGGAATGAAAAGTATCAAGCACCTGATTTAAGGTGAGTTTAAATATTAAGAATGTTGCAGTAAATTATCCATCAAAAACAGATTTTTTGCCAATTTTTCATATAATTTCAACCTAAAGATGGTTTTGCCACTTCCTGTATAATTTGAATATTAAACCACAATTCAATTATGGTTGACTGCAGTTTGTGGGATTAAGAAGTGATCATTTTTGGTTTATTTTAAGGGAAGAGATGGAGCAGAGCCCTCAAATCCTGATGGGTTTGGGGGTGTTTTTAACGTGAGAGAGACACTAAATTGTCCTGGGGAAGAATTATTTAGACAATTCTGAGATTATTTAGATTTTAAGCCATATTAGCAATTGATTTCTATTTTACTTATTGATTTCTATTTTATTTCTTTATTTCTATTTTACTTATTGATTTCTATTTTATTTCTTTATTTCTATTTTACTTATTGATTTCTATTTTATTTGTTTCTATTTTACTTATTGGTTTCTATTTTATTTCTTTATTTCTGTTTTATTTTAGATCCCCAGTGTAGTGGGAACACCCTGAGGACAAAAGGAATTGTGTCCATCAGATCCAGCACATACTCCAAGGTTTTTCATCTTCTGCTCTCCCCTTTCCCAAGTAAATAATTCCATGACCTTGGATTGTTTGAAAATGAATTTATGCGGGTGGTGAATGAGCAGCTTTGGCTCCAGTCAGGATTTGTGGGATGGATCCCAGGAGGAAAAGGTGGAGAAGGAACATGGAGATCCTGGGGAATGGGGGAGCAGCAGGAAAGGGGGATTGTCCCCCTGTGCCCCTCAGGGGGACCCCCCTGCAGAGCTGCTCCAGCCCTGGGAACAACATCCAAAGGATGTGGAGCTGCTGGAG